ATATCATATTTCATTTTTTTACTACTGCAGGAGATCAGATTTCTTTCTTAAGTTTTAATTTTTGAATGTTTGACTCATTTTTTTTAGTTTTTATTTTTTGAAATTGCTGAAAATATTTGAATAATCATGTTTAAGATCAGCATATTTTTTTATTTAAACATTATGTACTCATAGTTTTTTTCACCTGCAACGAAAGTGCGAGCCACCTACTGGTTCACATATAAGTTTGTCTCCAACCCACCCTTTCAGTGTGCCACGTTGCCGCCTAAAAGATAAATGAAATGATGTGTTTTATCTATCTATCTATACAATTTATAAAAAAAAAATATTATTTACACCCTAACTTTTTTTAATATATCACAAAAATTTTATTATAAATTTAACTTTTAATAAAATTATTTAAATATCCATTAGTCATTTACCTTCTTGTCTTTTTCCCAGAAACGTGTCTTCTTCTTTGTTCCTTTTCAGCTTCTTCCTTCTTTTTTTTTCTTGTTTCTTGCTTCTTGTTCCTTTTTCTTTTTCTATTCTCTTTTTTTCCTTCTCAGAAACGTGTTTAGTGCTTTTTTCTATTCTTCTTCCTACTAAAAAATTAATTTATTATCAAAATTCACAATCAAAATTTTTAAAAATCTATTTTTAAAAATTTTTAAATGTTTGAATGTGATTTTTTTAAAATTTTTTTAGACAAATAAAAGAGAGAGAAATCATAGAGAAAAGATTAAAAAAAAAGTTATTATTTTATAATTATTTATTAATTTTTTATAATAATGATTGATTGGACATGTAAAAGATAAGTCATAGAGAAGAGAAAGGGGTCTAGGAAGAAAGTTGGTGAAAATCGTATGTTTTAAGAGAGGAAAATTTGAAAATGAATAATTTTTGTTTTTATGATTTTTTTAATTATTTTATTTTTTGTTTTTGTTTTTGTTTATGTTTTTGGCTTCCAAAGTTTAGATTTTTGAAAAAAAAAATCCTATTTGAAAAGAATTGACATATTCCACAATTATATTATTAAATATTAATTGTTATACTTTATTAATAATATCTTTTTATTATTTTTAATTTTTAAAAATTCCTACTATATCAGGATTTAACATTAAATAAACTTCACTCTACAAACTTTGTTTTGCTTTTGCTGTTTTCGTCTGATTCCAAATCGTGGCATAATATAAAGGTTTAATTAGTAAATTGCATTTAATATCAAAACAATGTCGTAAAAGTAGAAGTAAAAATTGAAAGTATTAGAGTGAAGTTTGCATATAAAAGTAATTATTGTAAGAGGTAGTCAGATAGATACAGCCAACTTATTAGAGAAAAAGGACATCCAAATTGTCAAATAATTAATGGAAATAAAAAAAAAAAAAAAAAAAAACGCATCCACTGGTAATACTAGGTGGTAGAGTGCACACATGTTGACATGAACATGTGATGAGCATGTCTTATCGATCATTATTATTTTTTAGTTTCATTCTCAAATTTTTTTAATAATATTTTTAAGTTTTCACGGATAAATAATAAAATCAAAACATCGGTAATGATTGACATGTTTGCTTCATAGGATAAGAACGAAATTACATTCATTTATCTTTTCAAAGCATAAACCAATCATTCATAGCTTTTCATCTCCCTATTTCATTACTCCTTGAGTTATTGTTTGTGAGAGCTTTTTTTTTTTCTTATAAAAGTTTGAGCTATCTTAACAGCATCAATGGAAAGAAACGTTTTTCATTCATCTAAAAAAATCGATGCCAATTCGTTAATTTTCTTATATAACAACGATGTTTTATCTTCTATGGTTAAATTATCCCAAAAATCAAAGGATTTACAATCACCCTTTTGATTCTGCTTCATTTCGCTAACAGTCCTTGTGTATCCAACTCAATTTTTGAAAAGGTTAAACCTTTCAAAATGCTTTTTGACAATGATTTTTACATTTGCTTTGCGGGAAATACTGACCTAGCCGCACCCAATTCCTGGTATGTACCCAACTTCTATTTCTATTTATTTGATGGTCAATGGTTTTTTTAATATGTAATGAGTTTGTGTGTAGTATCAAAATGAAAGGCTTGTTCTGTTTGCCATAGCATTTTCTTTCATTTTAACGTGCAACAACAATGGATACTTAATGATTTGTATGTTTGCAAGTAGTTGCTATTGTCAATAATAAAGTAAAAAAAAAAAAAAAAGGCTCTGACTTAGGGTGAACTTCCTTTTCAATTATCTTTGCTTGAGGACCTTCATTATAGATTTTTTTTTCTTTCATTTTTGTGTTAATCTTTAGTTTTAACTATTCCAATTTTTGAATTTATCTTAAAATTTATAGTAAAATTGGTAGCAACTCAAATTTCTACTAGACATTATTTTTTTTTTCATACCGCCTTAATAAAATGCCAGAGAGAGCTAGTTTCGACATTGCAAATTTTTTTCTATTGAACAGCTTGACAATGAATTCTCAACAAGGTTTGGTAGTGGCCAAAGTATATTGTAATCTTCTCAAAACAGTAAAAAAACACGTACACATATCAATTAGATGACATATATTTAAATAAATTTATATTTGATGAATTATTAGTATATTAAATTTATATATTGTCAATAAATTACATCATGATATTTCATTAATGAATAAATTAAAATTTTTTGAAATCATTAACAATAAAAACTCATAAATTTTAAGAATTTAATTGAAAAAAAGTTAAATCTTAAGTCGTTTTCTCCCTTAAATCTCACCAAAAAATTATACTCTTTTGCACTTTCTTAGTAACCAAACACCACTTTTTTAATTCGTGGGTTGTAGCAAAAATATATAACCTTAAATTATATAACTCTATTTTAAGCTTTCCCATTATCAATAAAAATAATTTATCTTACATCTATTCGGATTATTTGTAAATCCTCCCTAACCCATTTTGTTTCTCCTTTATCGTTTATTGTTCACGAGTCATGATTAATCAAGCTCCATGGGAGAGGCAGTGGGTCAAGATTCACTCACTAAGGGCATCATTAAATTGTATTATAACCTAATTAGTTCCTGACTTGTGATGCATATATTTTTTTACTTATTTAAATATGTGTTTTTATTGCAAAATTTATATTTTTCTTATAATTATATGTAAGTCTTTAAAATTTTATAACATATATAAACATAAATATATATTTAATTAAAATTTACTATTATTATCTTGATCAAAATGCTAAAAAATGTGAAAAATGAAAAGAGATATTAGATATGGATGAAAAGTGAAAAAGAATTTAATATAAATATAATATTGAATTTTTAGAAGAACATAAAATATAATATTAAATGATCAATTAAATAATAAAAGAAGTATTGACATGTTATCATTAAATTATGATTTTGATCAAAATACTAAAAAAAATATTAATTAAGAAATGTGTGACAAACAAAAAGGAATTGAATACAAATAATATCAAAAGAAGAAATTATCTAAGTAAAACAAACAATAATATCACAAAAGGAATATAAATCTTAAAGAAAAATTGAATACTGACAAAAAATGACTTAGAGTTAAACTAATATGTGTTTTTTTTAATTTAAAAAGAAATTAATAATATGGTATTGGAAAATTGAAAAAAATAAAAGAGATATGTGTGGTTTTAAATTTAAAGAAATTTTTTTTTTGTTTTTAATATTTTTGTGCATATTTTATAGTAAAAAAATCAATAATTTAATTTTTTTTAATTTAGCTTTATTTTAATTAAAAATTAATTTTTTGGTTAATGAATTTTTTGTTATATATTATCTTCTTATGTAGGTGATGTCGATCTAACCTTACACCAAAGTTTCAATTTATTTTCTATATAAAAAACATTTTTTACCTATTTTATTCTTAATTATTTTCTTAAAGAATTTTATAAATAATTACCATTGTTCTACATGTATCATATAATATATAAAATATTAAAAAAATTATTGTAATGCAAATAAAATACAACTATAAGTATTATATATTACAAATTTAATTTAATAATAAAAACACAATATCTAAATATATCCATGCTTTAGATAATAATAATAATAATAATAATAATAATAATAAATAATAATAATAAAAAAATAAATAAATAAAGTCTAAAACTTCAAAATTATTTTACAGTGCATTTACATAGTTTAAATGTAAGATAAAGAATATATACATGTTCTATATAATAAATATTCAAGTTAATTTTAAATGAGATATTAATTTTGTTATTGAAACGGTCTTAATAACTTTATCTCATTTAAATGAGGATAAATATTATAAATTATTTAACATAAAAAAAATTTAGATAATACTAGTTTTTTAAATTTTAAAATATTTTTAAGTTTTACAAAATAAAATTATTTGATAAATAACTATAATTAAAGAAATACCTTACGTGTCAATAATAAATATTTTTATCCAAACATTTACAATCACACCTTCATTAAGAGTGGTCAAATTCTTTATTGTTGAATTTTTTTACAAATTAAAGTCTTCACAATAAGGAAAAAGGAATGAAAATTCTCTATTGTAATTTGTAAATTTCATAAAAGTTTGGTTGCCTGTTTATAACGGAATATTTTTTTTTTATATTTTTTGGGTTTTGAATTAATTTATTGTGTTAGTGTTTTGTGTATGTTTGAAAGACTGAAATTGTCAGCTAAATTTTTAGAGAGTTAATAAAGTAGTACATATTCGGATATACTAAAAATATATATTTATTTGTTAGTGAAATTTTCAAATTTTAAAAGTTAGATTAGTAATATGATATATATATATATTTAAAAAATAAAAAATTAATTAAAAAATAAAATAAAATATGTGATAATCTTTTCTTGTAAAATTAAAAAAATAGCGTATCAAAAAATAATTTAACATTTAATAATTATTTTGTAAATTTAAACATTTAAAATTTATATAAAATTATTGTCTAAAACCAAAATTTTTTAATTTATTCATCAATAAAGCGCACGTGGTTAGGATCAAATATACAAAAACAATTAAATATTATAGATTTCATGACCGAGGAGACATGCTGCATATATTTTCGCACTGGCAAAAGAGAAATCAAACTGATGAGGAACAGTGAGTCCAATGATGCAAGAACAATCGGTCATTATCCTTTTTCTTTTAAAATTTTTTTTCTGTAAATTTTTTTGTTGATCAAGAGATATTTAATAAATTTCAAACAAATCTATTCCGAGATTTGAGTCATTATTCTGTCATTTTCGACTTTTATTCGAGATTTATCTCAAAAAAACAATCCGTAAACTACCTGGATGATTACGTTTCTCATTTTAAGATCAGTCCTTTGTACCGGAGATGCGTTGAGTCGGCCAAGTTCGATGAAACAAGCAAGAAATGGACTGGCGGTGGCTAGTGGAGAAGCAAGCAACCCTTAATTATACACCAGAGATTGAAGGAATGAATACCTTCCCTGGAGATGTTCTCCATTCAACCTTGTTCAGAAATGACAATGCTTTTAGAGACCAGAACGTTTTGGTTGTTGGGTCTGGTAATTCTGGCACGGAGATCGCACTGAAACCAGGCAACTTGCGGTGCAAATACATCCATAGTTTTATCTCATTTACCTTTGATATGATAATTTCCCTTCTTCAATTTGGTTAAATTTCGAATAAACTTAACTCCAAGGTCTGCATATGTTTATTATCAATAATCCATATATGAACAACAGTGTCTGTTGGTATTGATAGAGTATTAAATTTTAATTTAATAATTAGAGTTCAAACTCTGACTTCAAATACCCAAAAAGAAAATTAATAATTGATCTATGTTTCGTATGTGCAGGTTCACATTCTTTCAATGAAGATGGCGTAATTGGGGTTAATTATGTTGAAGTACATTCCGGTTAACATGGTGAAGTCGTTGATGGTCATGCCTAGCAAGCTTGTTAATGGGGAATTGACCAGGCCGAAGGAAGGAGGGTCCATTTTTCATGAAAGTTGCCTATGGAAAGTACCCTGTTTTTGATGTAGGAACCTATAACAAGATCAAGTCCCCAGGGATTTAGGTAAATATTAGATTGTTTCATGGAATATAATACTTGATAATTTTCCTTTTTTTCTTTTTATTTTCTTGTACTAATAACTAAAAATTATTACTACTACCATATATTAAGTATAAATGAATAGTTGTTAAACGATTTTTATGTTAAAGAAAAACTGATAAATCGATGACAAAATTGGGGACAATATCGTTTATATTTCCCATTAAATTGAGTGAGAATAATTTAAAAATTTTATTGTTTCGAAACATTTACATCAAATGCTCTCTCTGGCCTTGGGGTAAAACTGCAGCATAATTCTGATTCTGGGCATGCAGCCGTGCTTTCTCTCAATTAATCAAGAAATGTGAAAACTGTTACAACCAAATTATAAAACCTGACTACCTGACCAACTGCCGGAGGAGGGGAAAAGGAAGGAAGATATGGCACTTTGATATTTTGATTCGAGCTTCATGGAAATCAGCATAAGCTACTGAAACTTTGATGTGGCAAACTGAAGCTCTCAATCATAGTTTCCGAGCTAGGATTTTCTTTTATCTCCCGACCTTGCTACCCAAGACGATCAAACTGAATTCACAAATGTTAATAATTATGCCCAAAGGAGTCCATCAAAGCCAATCTCCAAATTTGAAACTGGACTATCGCCAAAGTCCTGCTCCACTGTCTGGATGTCTCCAAGTGAATCAACATATGGTTCTAAAAGATCATCAGATCTTTCAGATGGAATACCATAGTCTTTGAGAATGCGAGATGAAGCAGCCATAGCTGCTTTCCTATCCAAAACAGCTAGATAATTGTCTTCAAATTCAAAAACTAGATACTTGTCCTTGCAACCTGACCAAAAATACAGACTGCTATGAGAACCACTTAATAGAGATGATGAAGACTAGATAAAATGGATGTTAGCACTTACAAGCAACAAGGTGTGCTAGGTGACGAATGTTTTTTATTCGAGTTCCATTGAACTTCAAAACCTGAAATTTCTACATTTTAGTCAAAGGCAAATAAATTGGAAGAGGCAAGTTGTGAGGACATAGAAAACCTACCTGCTGGTTGCTCATGTCCTCGTATCCAATGTTTACTTCGTTTGCCAAGACCTAATGAAGATAAGATAAACAAAGTCAGATCTCATGCACCAAAATACTGTTTCAAAATTCCCATGAAAACAACCCATGCTCTGTGATATGACGAAATCATAGTAAGAGAATAAAACTTTTCTTTTGTGGCATATGAAGACTCATTGGGCTTGGAGGCCTGGACTACAAAACAAGAGATAACCCTGTCTCATCTCATAAAACTCACTCCTATTCCAAAATTTGAACTAGGGACCTTCAAGTTGAAATTTCCAAGTTCTAACCATTGAGTGTTCCCTTAGTCCTTATAACACAAGCAGATTATTGTGACACTAAGAACTAGTTAGATGGTTACTGTAGAGCATATTTTCAAGTGAGAGTTTGCCTTAGCTATCAATGTCAAACCTCATATCATAAGCAGCACACCTGTGATAGGATCACAATCTGTTCTCCTTTGAACCTTGCCAAAGAGTACCGTGCCTTAGCCAGCAGTTTCAACTGAGAAGAAGAATGAATAATTAAAAGTCAAACCTCAAAAATGCTTTGGTATCAAAATGGCACGGTATTAGAAGAATATCATGCTTCAGGAGTGTTCTAGAATTTACAACTTACCCCTATAGAGTCTTCGCTTTCCTCCCTTTAAATTAGACATCAATAAACAAATACAGATTACTTCATGATTAGCATTAGTATCCTTACATTATTAACCCATCCATGAAAGGAATTGTATAAACTACTGAGTGTGGGGAATGTACAAACTTACTCTATCAATGGTTCTGAAAGTGGGGTAAACACCAAACCAGCAATAATTAGATATGAAGGTTGACCTCCATCAATATGATAGGAAACCTAGAATGCAACGCATAAAGGATCTAAATCATTAGCATCTAAAAAGAAAGCAAATGTAACCAATATTACTGGAGCCATCTCTTTCAGTTCAGAGCCAAGACGTTAATTCCATACCAAATGTACTCTTGGATTTAAAACTACTTGAACTTTCATAAATTTGCCTGCCCTAATTATACCAAGCTCTGCTACATCACCTGCAAATCTGTAAGAGAGCTTAAATTGGATCCAAGACTAACTTATATCACAGGAATAAAAATGAATCCCGAAAGAAAAGATAGGAAAAGATGATATAAATCATGGGAGATTAGAAAGACTAAAAACACAGAACACAAGAATGCTCATTCTGCAATATATTGTATAAACTGTTAAATCGTGTAGCAAAACATGTCATGCAGCTTTTCATGTGATTTCTTGGCAGAGAAAAAGGGCCATTACTTTTGACTAATGAGGTAGCGGAATGCAATGCGTTCATTTGATCTAAACGGCACTGTTCCTTCAGAACCCACATGAATATCATCAAAACTCACAATCACGTCCCCCTGGAAAGGTAAAAATAAATTAAAATCCATCTTTGTAACATACAATAATAAACAATGTGTAAAGAAAGTTGAAAAAAATCTTTATCATTAGGCTTCTCTTATCATCAGTGAGGAAATTGGACACTCAGGACAATAAAATAACAAGAAAAAAAAATGAATCAAATGACTACCATATATGATGTGAATACAGAAAATTGAGATGGATAATAAAATAAAACTAAAAGGTCCAACATCCTCAATGCTTATGAGCATTGCCAGCATACCTCCTTTAAAACATTATTTGCATCCAAAGTAGGTTCAACTCTTCGAACAAGCACACCCTGTGGAAGTCAAATTTTATAATGGAAACATCCAAGGTAATGAACTACTCAACAAACATGACACTATCAAGTTTAAAAAAGATTAGAATTATGCTCTGCAAAGTTGTATCAGATGCACCATCAGAAAACAGGTAACTTGCTAAAATAAATAGGGCCTGAAAATGAAATTGAGGAGAACCAAAATGCTTTCTGCAGTCCGCATAGACAACCCAGATTACTGCCACTCATAAATGCTTCAAGCTCTAAGTTTACCCATTTCTGAATGAATACTTTTATATTTCCATGTTCTTTTGATACTGATTACTGACACTTTGCAACCTTTTTCACCAATTCTTTTACAAAATCTTGCATGCTAGATAGCACACAAATGACATTTTTAAACCTAGTCTCAAACTTGAACAAATTAGAGGAGGTGAGCACAAAAAACATGGCCATTAGACAATTATAATAAATCCTATATGTAATGTGGCCTTAATTTAAATTTCTTTACAATCTTGCAGTACTGATCCATTGCAGCACCTGTTTCATTTTTCAAAGCTTTATCTTTCTCATGCCAAGTATCCTCATACACAACTTTCACATCTGTTAGTATCCACCATCTCCTCCAAGAAGCTTCAACTTGAACTCTCTTCAGCAAGCCTACAACACAATTTTGAAATCCAACTCCCACCATGCAAACCCTTCTTGAATCCCACCATCCACAAACACAAATGCACGCAAATCCCTTACTATCCCAAGGGAATATGCAAACAAGTATATATTTGTGCATGTAAGTACAAGTGCACTAGTGCTTTTGAGCTCTCTATGCTGAGTAAGTTGTAGTAAAATTACCCCATTAGACTGTACTTGTAAGCACGCCCGTAGTGCTGGATTCTCCAACTTCTGCAGCAATACACCAAGGCAAGGGAAACCTGGAATCTCAATGAAGGAATTTTATCATTTTTTTATGTTTACATTTTGGAGAAAATGCCACGCCACTGTGATATTTGTGCTTGAGCACTAAGTGTCAATGACAATAACAGAATGATGAGTCAATGATTGAAAAAGAATATTAGCATTAGGTAAATTCAAGCAAGTGGCAGGCTGTAAGAGTTGGCTGGACATCCAAAAGTAATTCATAGAACTTAAAGTATACAGATTGCAAAAGTCATTGCTTTGTTAGAGTATATTGGGTTCATCATGAAGTTAAGTGCAATTATAAAAATAGAGAAACATTTATATGGGTATGTAAAAATAAGGTTTTGGAAGAAAATCGTGTGACCAAAACTAAGAACCTTATGCATCGACATCCTTGGAGGATATTAATAAATATATTGAAGCTCCATCTCTAAAATTCACAAGAATGAGTTCATATAATAAATTAACAATAACATAAATGATGTCCCCTGTGCAATACTGTGAAAGGTAAGAGGATACCTAATGCACTAATTCTGAAAATCCAAAAATATGCACACAGATTTAAATGCAAGCATGATACATATTTCACACAACTGTAGTTAGGAAAAGATTCTCACCTGTATACTTCCCATTCCTCTCATAGTCATTCAGAAAATGAGATACAACTGTAGTTGGTATCACATAACCAATATTTTCAGCCTCCTCAGATCTGTAAACCTAAAGGAAGTCTCCCGTTAAAACATAATATGTGGTAGATAGGGGGAGGAAAGGAAAAGACGGACTGAAAATAGCACAAGAAAAAACATATGATGAAAAGCATAATAGTTGATAAATAAAATAGGCCAGAGAAGCATGTCTAAATATGAAAGGAAGCAAGTATAAAAAGTACTATCTCCTCCTGTCACATAATGCTATTCCTCTTTGACATGTTACAGATTTAAGGAGTGTGTTTTTCTTTCGCATGGTATGCATTTTGTCCTTAAATATTGTCAGTTTCCTTAATAATTAATTCAACTTAGGCATGGAAACAACAATAAAAATCAATAATAATGCTTGTTTTAGTAATCAACAAACATTTCAGACAACTCAAAAAAAGGGAAAAGGGAATGCAGTAGCATTATAAAACAAAGGGAAAATAAATTAAACCAAACCAAATAAATGATTTAAGAAAAAATAGTTATCTCATAATAGATTTTGGCATAAACCCACACGTACAGAAGGTATACCTGAAATGCAACCCCAATGCACTCTCCCTGCTCGTTGAATGCAGGACCACCACTATTACCTGAAATCTACCCAAGTATAAGAAATGACTATCACAATGATACGGGTAATGCCTTTCAAAAAGGGACATGTTACAAGGCTTAGATATACAAATTTCAATGACCAACTGACCAGGATTTATTGCTGCATCAATTTGAATGCCCAACAAATCAGATGAGCCATGGGCGTATGATGTGACCTGAAGAAATAATATCAGTAAGAAACTTGATACTGTTATTCATTTAACATGTAGGCAAGAAACAAAATTTAAAAAAAAAAATGGATATGGGCATCAAAGAAATAATAAGGGAAGGCAAGATCTGACTGATGCTTGTCATTATTGCTTTGGAGGGGTGAATCAAAGGATCAAACCTCTATACGCGATACAACTCCCTTTGTCACTGAAATGGTGTCTCCTCCTAGGGGATACCCCACAACAGTTACTGCATCCTGCCCATCAAGAAAACAGAATAGAAACAGCTCAAAAAAACTTGAAATTAAAAAAGTTGGCATAACCACTCTAGCATAATTTACTAAGGCTTCAAGACCTTGTATCTAACTCAGATCAAGCACAAATCTAACTCAGATCAAGCACAACTGTGACTGTCACATTGATGAAAACAAAAATGACAAAAAATTTATCTAACTATACTTTTTTTTGAGTCCTAAAGCACCCGCGCGGAATTTTTGAATTTTAATAGAGGGTATTTTTGCCCTATTTTTTCAGTTTTTGTGAGCATTTGGAATGTTTCAACGGATACTTGGGGAATGAGAGGAGTTTTTCCATACATTGAGGGCAGCATTGTCTTTTATTGCCACCTATTTTTACCATCTAATTTTTCGAGAGAGAGATGGTGAGGCTGAGAAAAGAGTGAGGGGCAGAGCACTGATGGAGAGAACACTTAAATGCTGAGAGTGAGGGCAATTAAATCAAAGACCATAGAAATTTCTTTTAGTTCCTCAGCTGAATCAGAACAGATACTTATTTCATCAAGGCAATTAATCAACCGGACTGTCATTCAGGTTCAAGATAAAGCATGAGTTATTGAAAAATGCACTGAGAGAATAGTTCTATGCTCCATAAAAGGTGAAAGGGCTATTAAAACCTGAAGGTGCGGCAAGTGTCCCAGGCGAAGCGACTCAGCTCCTTTCCAAAATTCCTCACTCTCTACCGAAAGCAAAGCTATATCACAATCAACACCTCTGGCTAAAACCTGTTCATCAAATCATGAGAAGAAAGTAAGCTTTAAGATATTAATAATGTCCAACAAGCAGTACAACTCCTGATCTAGACACCTTGGAAATTACTTATCAGATTTTCAACCGATACCTTGCTGCCAATGGTGTGCATTAACATGCATAAATCTTCATCAGTTATAGCAATACGCTTTATGGGTACTTAAACAAATATCTTAATTTGAAGTAGTAGGTTATTATTTGATGAGAAAACTGCGTAGATTAGTTATTTGTTCACATTTTTATTCTAATAAAGTGCTGATAAAATTTAACTTGTTCAAATATCAATAATAAGATCAATTCAGACTAAATCAGGATTTGCTAAGAAAAAATACCAAAAACAGAAGTGATTACATTGCAAGCGTACTTGAGGACCTCAAAGACACAAAAAGGCCTGAAGTTAGAAATGAACCACCAAAAAAAAAAAGCTATTGAAAAAGGTCAAATCAAGATCTTGGGCCTGAGGATTGATTCTATAAATGCTATACTCGCCATTTCATCTTTTAATATCTATTCATAACCATCCGGATGTAATTTCTTAACATTTGTATCTAAATCCCCATAAACACTGTATATCTAACACCATAAGATAATGAAAGTAAATTCTCATAAATTAACAAAACCACACGCACCCACACACATATATATGGATCCTACATAAAAGAAAATGACAATTGCCTGACTCCAGCCCGAATATAAAATAAAACGGTTAAGAAGGACAGAGGAGGAGGTGGTCGCTGGGGTGGAGAAAGTCCTCAGCTTGAGATTCAAAAATAGAGCAACCAAATCCCTGGGAAAAAATCAAGGTAAAGGAAAAGGAACCCACCCCAAGCAACTAAACTACTGAAGCCCACTGATGTCAGGAATGTCATGCTATTTACTAACTGATTTACTTGTTTCACCACTAGCAATGTATCGTAACTCCTTTCTACATTGGGTTAATGGTTTTATGCCTTCAAATGCTATGGAGGAAAAGAGGTCGTAGTACTAAATCAATAGGTTGTTAACCCACATCAATAGAAACTAAGTAAATGTGTTCTTGAGAGGCTGAGATTGATTTATGACACTGCTTACTAAACATACCAAGAATGCATTTAATATTTATTAGAGCAATACCTTAGCAACATATTTGGTATCATCCCCCCTTCTCTTTACTTTAACCTGTAGTCAGAAATGATAAAATACAAAGAGAATAATCAACTGAAGATAACAGCAAAATGCAATCAAAGTAGACTAGAAACATAAACAAATAAACAACAGCTCCGAGTTATGAGAAAGAAAATTGAAATCACTGATATATGCAGTACTTGATGATTTTATAAACTTCACTTAACAACCAAGGCCAAGAAGTCCATGTGACATGGGCAGTAAGGGCCATGAGATAGGACACAAGCCGCTTCAAACTCCTCATCTGAGTAAAGAAAACTTAAAAATCCCAATCTATACGCATCTAAATCCAAACAGTATGAAGGAATAATGCAAATATCCAATTAAGAAATTGGGAACTAAAAATAAATAAATAAGCACTTCTGAATTATTATTTCTCAACATCAATCCATAAATGATCTTCACTTTCCTTGAAATACTTTAACCTGTAGTCAGAAATGATAAAATACAAAGAGAATAATCAACTGAAGATAACAGCAAAATGCAATCAAAGTAGACTAGAAACATAAACAAATAAACAACAGCTCCGAGTTATGAGAAAGAAAATTGAAATCACTAATATATGCAGTACTTGATGATTTTATGAACTTCACTTAACAACCAAGGCCAAGAAGTCCATGTGACATGGGCAGTAAGGGCCATGAGATAGGACACAAGCCACTTCAAACTCCTCATCTGAGTAAAGAAAACTTAAAAATCCCAATCTATACGCATCTAAATCGAAACAGTATGAAGGAATAATGCAAATATCCAATTAAGAAATTGGGAACTAAAAATAAATAAATGAGCACTTCTGAATTATTATTTCTCAACATCAATCCATAAATGATCTTCACTTTCCTTGAAATGCCATTCTTCTTTCCAACTTTGCATACAGAAGTAAAGAAGAATAGGTCCAAAGATGCTGAGGTAATCTGGCTTATATTCTTAGCAGTGGTAAACATGTTTATGGTCAGTAAATAGGGAACCTAAAATCTGAAATCATCCAACAATACCATTCTAAAACTCCTTTTAAATTAGATTCCAAACTCACTTCCATGTTGACATTGGACAAGAAATGGTACAATTGGCTTTCCATGATCACATAAACATGATGATTCCACACATCATTATCACATAAACAGTATAAACAATGACAAATTGGTTATCCAAAGCTGTTTTATTCAACTAAATGATGATTCAACACTTATATCCACTAAGTTTAAAAGATAATTTAATATTTATTACGTACTCAAGAACTTTTATATACTACCTGTGTGTCATGTTCCACGCAATGTGCATTTGTTAAAAGTTTCCCATCTCCAATCATGAAAGCACTGCATGAGGACAAAAAGAAAGATAACCATAAATTAAAATTTTAATACCTTGTATACAACACAAGATGAAAGACAAACAATAAGCCGAGTAACTGGAATTGGAAAAGCTTTAGAACCAGCAGAGTACATGCTTCAGGATCCAGAAACAGAATAGAATCTTGCCTTCCAGTGCTTGTATATTGTTTTTGCTTTTGCCAAGGAAGGGAATAATCAGGGGCGGTATGGGTGCAGTAAACCTAGAACAGATATAAAACAAGGCATAGCATTAACAAATAGCAAAGAAACAAAAAGGAAAAGCAAATAGATAGTGTAAAATTTTCATTTACCAATAAATTCACTCTAGTAACCATTTTTTCTTGGAAAAGTAACAATAACAATAATGATAATAAAGATTTGTAAGGATTTCTGCCTAAAGATCTATGCATTGCTTGCTCCTTTAACATGCATCCAAAATGCATATATAGCTAAAAACAATTTGTTCACCTATCTTTAGAAATGTCAAGTGGCATTTTAATCCAAAATGAGCAATCTGTCTAACCAAAAAGCTTAAGAGAACCCAAAACAGTATCAATTACATTCTACCGACATCCAATTGCAAAGCCATCTCAATTTTCAATAGCACGTGTATTGATGCCACTTCAGACTGGTAGATCATGCATTCGTGGCACAATAAATCAAAGGCAAAAGACATATACAAAAGCTAAGAGATATGCACATCAGCCACTCAAACATGCAACAATTAGAAATGTAAAAGTATGATAAAGGCTATATGACACTTTATTTCTTAACAAAATAAAGAGATTGAAAATATTCAATGTAACAAAAGACTTTTTTTTTTTTGCTTTAATGTTTATATAACCTTCACAACAGCATTGAGAAAGATTGCATCCTGAAGATGCCCCGGTTCAACCTGAAATCAAATACAAACAGGTCATAAGAAATAAAGAGTTGCAGAAAAGCAAATCAAATGTACAGAAGAGAAACAGGAGTGAGCATGTGATAAGGCAAACCCATGTAGTATTACATAAATATGCTCAGAGTTTTAGAAAACAAACTTGTAGCAATCCTCAGAAAAAACAAATTACAATGATAACCATCCCAGACTATAGAATGGCAGGAAAATTACAATGATAACCATCTTGATAAGCATATACAACAAACTAATAAGATGATTGATTATACCCAAGGTGTAATGAATGGCTGGAAATGAGGTTTATGGATACTGCAAAACACTTGCACTTTCTACTTTAGAAAATAGCCAAGCAAAAGATAAATTATAAATTCAAACCAGTCATTTAAGTTGGCAGTCAAAGGGCTTCATGTTCCACTTAGAAGTACAAAAATTTCCCTTGAAACTACATGTTTACAATTATACCTGCTGTTCCCTTGGGTCAAGCTGAAACTCCTTCTTGTCTTTTCTTTGTGTGCCAAATGATTTAAAACCTGTTAATTGAGGACGCCCTGTGTCCCCTCTACCACTAATTCCATCAGCATATAAGCTGGACTTTTCATCTTTTGGTCTTCCTGGAAGTTTCTTCTGGGAAGCAGAATCTTTCTGGATATGAAAAATATACATCATTCAATTAGTTAAACATGACCAAATTGATCTAAGGACCACCGTGCCATGGAAGAAACTCCAGCATATAAATATTAAATTACAATCTACAACAACATAGCATAAAAGGTTCAGACAGCCAGCATTCTTCTATTAACACCAATACCACATACCCAATAAAATGAAATTGCTACCTCCATCTTGCTCTATCCATACAAACTTTCCAAAACCTACTTTTCAATAGCACAAAAAATTATTATAAAAACATGTAAATCTTACAGTTGCAGGCTTTGATCAACGATAGTGTTTACAAATAATTCAGTAAACCAAACGGTGGTTATTCTTAAACCCTAACAGATTAGGTCCATCGCCTCGTTCAAATCAAATTACGCTATAGTACTGATTTATAGTACTAATCTCTTACCCAAACGACATTTCCAATTGCCTAATCTTAAATGAAGAGATCACAACTTCCAAAAATTACGTGTAAATAAACTAACAAACAATGCGTGATTAATGAAACTATAAAGTACTGATTTAATGAAACTATAAATTACGCTATAATACTGATTTATAGTACTAATCTCTTACCCAAACGACATTTCCAATTGCCTAATCTTAAATGAAGAGATCACAACTTCCAAAACTTACGTGTAAATAAACTAACAAACAATGCGTGATTAATGAAACTATAAAGTACAAACAATTAAACATCGAAAACACTTTAAGTTTTGCGAAATCAAATCGCATCAAGTTTCAGTGGAATTTGGGAAAAACAAGAAACCAGAATCAAACGTAACGAAACGTTAGGGTTTACCTCAGCGTTGGATTTAAGCGGAGATGTCGACGAGCTTCTCTTGAGAGCTCGTTTCCTATTGTTGGTGGCTTTAGGAGAGAGCGCGTTGAGGGGGGCATGCGAAGTGGCAACACGCCGACGGCAAGAAACGGAGTAACGAAATTTAACGGTGGAGCTGAGTACGGAGAAGCAGCAGTTGGCGACTGCCATTGCCATAATAATAAGATAATAAGCTGCTGCAACGGCTAAAAGAAAATTGGTGAGGAAAAGTGATGCACTCTCTTTTTCCTTATCCGATGGGTGGGTTCGTAAGATTAGGTTACTGATTTTGGCGCCTCCCTCATTTTTACCAATGGGATGAGAAAAGCAATTTTATTTGTATAGGGTATTTTAATTTTACAATGTGACACGTAGGCCCAATTATTTCGGGTATTCGTTGTGGAATGTATGGACAGAATGCCCGTGTTAAATCTTGGCCTAATGGCCGACAGAAGCCTACTTTAAATCGGGTTGGTCCTTGAAGCCTTTTCCATTACTTTGTAAGTTTTAATAGCTAAAACTCATTTTAACTGATAACCCATGACAATCAAAATTAGGAAAGCATTTCATTTATAATTTTTATTATAATTTTATAATTATTTAATTATAATAAAAAATTATGTATAAATTCATCACTTATAAATATAAGATTTTTATAAAATTTTGATAAACTTTATATAATTTTGAATTATAATTGATTAATTATAATATAATGATTGTAACTTATATACAAAATTAGATTTGAAATTAAAGTATTTTGATAAGAAACTATTGTCTAATTATTTTTGTACTTTCTCTATGAATTGTAAAAAAAATAAATGTTTTTTTTTTTTTATAAATAGACCGATTGACAAGGGATTAGACAAAGATTTTGGAAGGGCATACAAATTATTTATTTACCAACAATGTAAAACTTTCTAATTTTATACTAATGTAAATTGATTTTTTGTGTGCATGCATATATATATATATATATATAAAGTTTATTATTTGTTTAGAATATCCACTTATAATATATATATATACATATGATTATCAATAAATTTACAAATTTTATCTAAGAAAAAGATGTCAAAAAAAATTTTCGGTGTAAACAAATTTTATTTTTTATTTTTTTATTTACCGACAATGTAAAACTTTTTTAATTTTACACTAATGTAAATTGATTCTTCATGTGTGTGTGTGTGTGTATATAATAAAATAAAATAAAAAAGTTGTGCAAACAGAGCTACCTATGTTAATAAATGATGAAGTTTACATGAACCTAAAACTAAAAAATAACTTGTTATTAAAGAAAAAGACCCAAATACTTAAAGAAAATGGAACAAACAAATCTTAATCCAATCTTGAACATGTTATCTCCGAGAAAATATGGTGTTTGAGAATGGAGAAAGAGAAAGAATGCATGAAAGGGAACGTAAGGAGGGTAAACTATATTTTGAGAGCTTTTGCCAAGTGAGAGCCACTAACAAAGAAAACAAAGAAAGGAAAAAATGTCTATATATTGTCACCCAAAATGCCCTATTGATTGAACCAATCTATTTGATTTTAAAATACTTTTGATGAATGCCTAAAAAGACATTTTCCTTTTGGTTGAGATTTCACCTCAATAGAATCATTATCAACCAACTTGAAAAGAACAGAGTCTACCACTCAATCCATATAGTTGTAAAAGTTTCTTATCCTTACTACAATAAATCAATATATTAAAATTTTATTTCCCTTATCATAATTTTGTTTCTCGATTCCTTCCCATTCTTATCATGTATCCATCTATGTTCATACCAACTTTGCCTATGGTCAATTTGATGGCAACGAGGTTGAAACCATACTAGGTTTTTTACCGTTCTCGATATTCGATGCAAAGTTGATTTCACGAGATAAATTTGTGAAATCACAAAAGAGAAAAAAAAAAAAAGAGATTAGTTAAAAGCAAAGGCTAAAAATGGTACCAACATTTGTACTCCAATGCGCAAGTCAGAAAATCAGTCAGGGAATAAGAAGGAAAATATCAAGAAAATAAAAAAAGCAAAATTGGAAAATGTTACCTAGATGGTGCTATTTATACTAATAAGACAGAGGGTTTCGGGCAGACTAAGTTGCTCGAGGTCAGTCTTAGTACTAGGGATGACTTGGCAGGTTCGAGCTGAGCTGAAAATTGACCATCCACTAAAAGTGTGATAAGCTAGTGCCCAAAGGGATCTAGCCTATAGATAATGAGGTGGCTAAGTTGATGTGGACCCATAAATTCAAGTCAGTTTAACACGTCAGCTCGACCAAAAAATCCAAAATACCCATGGCTCTCTGCTGACTTTTTTTTTAATGGGAAAAAAATGTCCATTAGTCATTTAGACCTAAAAATACCCTTAGCACCTAATGTTTTCATAAGGGATCATCTTGCTAACAATGTGACAAGATACTATTTATCGTCCCACGAGTAGAAACTTGAAAGCCTTCTCCTAATCCCAATCATTCTTTTCATAATAAATGTTAAATCTTAAAGGTAAACAATTTTTTTTCAACTATGAGTAATGATGCTTAGACTTTTGTCCTTAATCGAAAAATACACCATTCAATCTTTACTATCGAATAAGCAAAAAATTCCATTATGGAAAACAGCACACTTAATTTTGTTTGCAAATACATCATGTTAATGCTTGGTCCATATAATAACTCGACCAAAAAAGTTTTGAAGTTAAAAAGAGATGACAATACTACTACATTGTCATAAAAAATAACGTCATGGTCTTAAAGATGAGTCATGAATCTCACATAAATTGTGTACTAAAGTTGGTCTTAGGATATAAGTATTCACACCACCTTGAACTTGTAAGATATTTTTTGTAAGATAAAATCGTGAGGCCAGTGAGATCAAAACGGACAATACCTTATAATTTGATGCAAATCATGACATTTGGTATCAGAGTTAGCTTGAAGGTACTAACGATATGCCATTGAAGAAGGTGAACCCTTTTTGGAGTGAAAAAAAATGTCATGGCCCTAGAGAGAAGTAATAAATCTCACATCGATGGTTTACTAAAGTTGGTCTTAGGATATTAGTATTCACATCACTTTTGATTTATGAGGTACCTTTTGTAAGACAAAATCATGAAGTATGAGGTACCTTTTGTAAGAAAAAATCATAAAGTCAAGTGGGTCAAAGCAGACAATATCTTATAAGTTAGTGTGAATTGTGATAGATGATGTGTAAGGGAACTACACCGAAAGGTTAATTTTGGCACGAAAGAAAGGGTAAAAAATTGAATCTTTACAGAATAAAAGAAACGACCTTAGGTTTAATGTAAGCCAAGTTGTTTCATCCAATTCTATGGTAGTGTAATGATGTATTTCCTACCTGATTCATCAATAACCAACATGCATTGAGAATTATTTTCCTTGTATAATATAAACCAAGGTTCAAGATCTAGTAAGGCTTTAATCTCAACTCGATTGATTAACAACTAATTATAAAAGTTCATAAGCAAGATCAGTCCACTTTCTAGTTGTCATTTGGTCAATGTGTGCTCAACTAGAAGAAACTACTTCATGTTCATCAATATATATAAGCACACCATTAAAAACATAACCAAGCCCACAAGAATTTTGCAAACAACATAATGCTGGGGTTTTCAGATTTCAACTTAACTTCTTTGAAGTAATTAATTTTGATAACTATGTTAGATTTTCTTTATTATGGAAACCAAATCTTAATTTTGCATAGTCTTAATGCCCAAAGTCTTAAAACAAGATGATTTTTCACAATTTCTTAATTGAAGAGAAGTCATACCTTGATCCATTATAATTTTCTTTTAAAAAAATGTTTTATGAATTTTTTTTTATTTCTTTCTCTTGACTTTTTTAATCTTTTACGCACTTTCTTGATTGATAAAAAACATCAATATAAATGTAAAAAGAGGAGCAAGTTTTCATTCATTCTCTAATGGCATTTTATTCATACGTTCCATCAATGTATGAGTTATTTATAAAACAACACTCTTTTCAATTTGATCAAAAGAATTAACTTTCATTAATTATCAAACCATAAATATCATTTAATCAAAACAAAATCTAAAGTTGGATAACGAAACATTAGCCATAATATCTAACATTCTCCCACTTAGCTTATGTGAAGTTATTCAACTTTATGGTTTAATAATAAAACATAATGCACATAATATGAGCTAAATCTTTTTTTTAATTAATTGAATCATAAATCATCATTGAGTAAAAAATAATAAGGATCATAGCGATTGTATGTCATTAGCTCAACATAGTTCTTTCTATGTTTGACATTATTAGTTTCATACTCAATATGACCTTTAATGAGAGATGTTATAATATTCTAACAATAATATCTTTGTTAAAGATAAATCCTATTTATATTCACATAATTCAATCATGCATATGTATATATACTAACATAATATTATAGAATGCATTAATATGTCAGAAACAACACTTAAAAGAGCTCAGAATGTCAAATTCATAAAGAACATAAAACTTTACATAATGTTAATAATGGTTTTCAATAATGTTCATTCTTTCGAAATGTTCATTAAATGCCTTTGGGTGACAAACCTTTTGTTAACGGATCCGCAATCATAAGATTGGTGCTAATGGATTCAATTGACATTCTTTGTTTTTGAACTTTTTCTTTAATGGTTATGTATTTCAATTTCATGTGTTTAGCACCTTTTAAATGCTTATTATTTTTAGAAAAAAAGATCGTTATGATATTATCACAATAAATTTTCAATGGCTTGACAATACTGTCAATAATTTCAAATCCTTAAATAAAATTTCATATTCATAAATCATTAACAGTGGCCTCAAATCACAAACTCAACTTCTATAGTGGATGCAACAATGATAGATTGCTTCGCACTTTTTCATGAAATCGCTCCACCAACTAAAAGAAACAAATAACAAAATGTGGATCTTCTAGTATCCATAAACCAAGCAAAATTTGAATATAAATATCCTATCACTTTAAAATGATAGGACCTTTTATAAGTGAGCATGTTATCTTTCATTCCTTGCAAGTATCTTAATACTTTTTTTACAGCCCTTCAGTGAACTATTCCTAGATTAATTTGATACCCACCCAACATTCTAACATTAAAACTAATGTATGGTCTAGTACAAGTTTGGACATACATCAAGCTTCCAACAATAAATGCACAAAAAATTTATTCCATTTGTTTGCATTCCAATTTATTCTTTAGGCATTGTATAAGGCTCAATTTATCTCTTTTTTAAATTTGAACAACATTTGTAGAGCATTTTTCAATTTTAAATCTCTATAGAATTCTATTAATTTATGTTT